TTTATGAAGCCCCCTGGTACTTTTGCATATTGAAATCAGACTTTCTGTTTACCTTTATTTCACCAGTGTATTGCTTGACAGATAGATGCCTTTGTTACTCTCCCCTGAGTTGGTGGTCTTCTAACTCTTATCAGAGCTCTCTACAGGCATCATTAGATCTACTGGTCCTTGTTGTTGACGTTAAGTGCCATCAAGTCAGTTCCAACTCATAGCGACCTTGCATAGGCTTTCTGAGAAGTGGCTGGTGAGCTTGACCTCAGAGCTTGAGATTCAAACCGACCTTGTAGTCCAGCGTATTCCCTGCAGAGCCACACTGGTCCTTAGCAATTCTTCAATGAATTGTCACCACAAATGATCACTATGAGTCAGAATTGATTTGATGGCAGTAGGTTTGGTTTTTGATTTTATGTGCATAGCAACACCCCTTGGCATAGGTTCCCATCTGATTTGCAATTCTTTCCTGCTCAGAACAGTCCTTGTTTTCAAGTCAGTTCTAACTCATAGCTACTCTGTAATAAGGTTTCCAAAGAGTGGCTGGTGAGTTTGCACCACCAACCTTGTGGTTCAAACCGATCTTCCAGTCCAGTGCTTTACTCTCAGTGCCACACCAGGACTCATAGCAGGGACTTTGTTATATGTAATTTCTGCTTTATGACTACTATGTTTTGTCTCCACAGACTAGACCACGGTATCTTGTTTCTGTATTTCCTAGAGTCTAACTCTAACTGTTTCTAATTTCTAATGATCTGAGAGTTATTTGTAACTTGGCTCTATTCTGGGAGTAACTCTGGGCAAGGTTAAAATCTTCATCTTCCTGACTCCAAATTCTATGAAAAACAACAACAGAAAAGATTGAAGTGTTGCATCTAATCTATCAGCTATGTAAAATATTTCAAAATATTTTGATAGAAAAAAAAAAAAAAAAAAGACCTCGGGACCCTGAGTCACCATATTTTTCATGAAGTTCTAAGTATAACATTGAAGGAAATAAATGAGAGTGAAGGGCTGAGTTCTGGTAATGCTTGTGATGAGCCTCTAGTATGAGTTAGGGGCCCAGGTTAATGTCCCCTACAGTTCAGCCAACGAATTGCTTTGTGAATTTAAGCAAGTTCTTTGATCATCTTAGAGGTTTCCTTCCTGTGCAGCTGAAAAGATTAGATTATAAGTCATATTCATAATTATTTAGAGGTCAGAGCCTCCTCTGAAATTCAACTGAAAGCTATATATCTCCCCACTCTCAAAGCAGAAATACAATTCTAAATATAATTCCAGAGGGGTTAGAAAGTCTCTCAAACTCCCTAGAGGACCTTAGAATGAGTTTTGAGATCTGAAGTATGTAGGGGATTTTTTTAAAAATCTGTGTACGTTTGCTACTGCTGTATGAATTAGTCTTTAAATGTGGATTTGGACCATTTTTGCTATTTGATAGTACAAAGCAGTTTACTCAGAAATACAGTGTAGATAACTAGCATCTCAGTGTCCGAGGAGTTACTAGTCCATCCTGCTAATCAATACAGGTTCCTTCTATAACCTGCTTCAGAAATGGATATTTAACATTGACTAGAAATTTTCTTCTTTATGTTGTTATTAGGTGCTATTGAGTCCTTTCTGGCTCATAACAACCCTGTGTGCAACAGGAATGCCCAGTTCACAACATCCTCATAATCTTTACTACGTTTGAGGTAATTGTTGCAGTCACTGTATCAATCCATCTTGTTGAGAATCTTTCTATTTTTCAGTGACTTCTCTATCAAGCATGATGTCCTTCTCTAGGGACTGTTCTCTTCTGATGACATGTCCAAGTATGTGAGGCTAAGTGTCACCAGCTTCACTTCTAAGGAGCATTTTGACTGTACTGCTTCCAACACAGACTTGTTTGTTTATATTTATTATTATTCACCAACAACATAATTAGAAGGCATCAATGATTCTTAGATCTTTTTATTATTGTACAGCTTTTATATGCATATGAAGCAATTGAAAATACCATAGCTTGGGTCAGGTACATCTTAGTTTTCAAAGTGACATCTTTGCTGTTTAACAATTTAAAGAGGTCTTTTGCAACAGGTTTGCCCAATGACTTCTTGACTGCTGCTGCCATGGCCATTAATTGTCGATCCAAGTAAAATGAAATAATTGACAACTTCAATATTTTCTCCATTTATCTTGTTGCTGCTTATTGGTCCAGTTTTGAGATTTTTTGATTGCTTTATGTTGGGGTGTAATCCGTATTGAAAGCGGCAGCCTTTGAACTTTAGCAGTAAATGTTTTAAGTCATCTTTATTTTTAGTAAGCTAGGTGGTGTCATCTGCATATCACTGGTTGTTAAGGAGTCTTCCTGCAATTCTGATGCCACATTCTTTTCCTTATAGCCCAGTTTCTCAGATTATTTACCCAGCATACAGATTGAACAAGTATGGTGAAATTATACAACCCTAATGTAAACTTTTCCTGATTTTATACCATGTAGGAGTCCTGGTGTGGTGCTGCGGGTTAATGTGCTGGACTACAAAGTCACTTTAAATCGCAAGGTTGGTGGTTCAAGCTCACCAGCTGCTCCTTAGAAACCCTATACAGGGTTGCTATGAGTAGGAACCAACTTGACAGCACTTAACAACAACAACAGTATCCCCTGACTCCTTATGATGAGCAGTGGGACTAGATGGAATTCCAGATTCTTCTTAACCAAGTTAATTGACACACTAAATCTGTTGTATATTCTAGAGAATATCCAGTCAACATCCAAGAAGTTAATGGTGAAAATGAGTTAGGGCCAGTGACAGTGGTGCTTTATGACTCATTCATTCATTCATTCAGTATACATTGAGGGACTCTGATGTGTCAGAACTTCTCTCAGCATCACACAGCCTTTATAACGTTGAACAAATCACGTATCTTCTCTGAATCTAAATTCTATCATCTAGGAATTCCATCAGAGAGTTGGTTTAAGGTCTCAGTGACTCATGAGCATAAGACTCTAGCAGAGTGACTGATTGGATCCTCAATGAACTGCCCTGTTCTTGAACATTTAAACCTCTTGTTTTTCTCATGTAATTTATAATAATATGGAGTAAGTTCCAGCTCTTAATAACAAATTTCTCTCTACAGACTTGGATCAACAGGAATTGTGAGAGATTTATATTTATAGATGAAATTAAAGTATTTAAATATTATTACAACTGATCAAATATTTTTGCAAGATAATCCACCAAGCCCAAGAATTTCATTCTTTGCCAAACAGCACTGTGATACTGGTTTACTAAAGAACATACAAATCCACACTTTTCTTGAGTCCCTTTCTTTCATAGCAAGCATAAACTGTGGTTTGATTTTTCAGTTCTAACTGGACTTTTGTTAGATAATATATAGAAAAATCTCATAAACCAATTTTCTAATATATAAAATGCATAAGGCATTTTCCAGGTTATCACAATATGTGTAAACTTAACAGTCCCAAGCAAAATAAACAGGAATTGTACAGATTGAATGTGACTGTAGTTGTTGTTAAGTGCATTCGAGAGTTCTGACTCCTAGCGACCTTGTCTCGGGTTTCCACGGCTGTAGTAATTGCCCTCAAATTATACTTCAAATTTGAATTAATTTTGAAAACAAAAATAAACCAGAGGATACATTATTATGAAACTGCAAAGGCATATACCATATTGTTTATTACTTCATTAAATTCAGTCACCCCACATGATAATCGCTGGACTATGAACCACGGGGTTCAAGGTTCAAGTCCACCAGCCACTCTGGGGGAAAACATGAGGCTTTCTGTTCCCACGAAGTGTGTCTATAAGTTGGAACCAACTCAGTGGCACTTAACTATAGCTATTTATCAAGGAACTCTGATAACATATTGGGTTACAAGTTGGGCCACTAACTGAAAGGTCAGCAGTTGGAATCTACTAGCCATTCCAAGGGGAAAAAATAAGAGATTTTCTGCTATCATAAAGATTCACAGCCTCAGAACCCGGTACTAGGCTGACTCCACAGCATATCACCACCACCATTATTTATCAGGTACTGTGCCTATGGCTCCAAATCGAAGGTGAATAATCCCTGACATCAAGAAGTTTGCTTTAATAAGGAGGAAAATATGTAGACACATGCAGTTCTATTAGGTAATTGCTATAAAACAAGGTGACTCCAGAGCAATGAGGGTATCTGAGAAACATCAGCTAAGTCTACTTGGGAAATTAAGGAAGCATCACAGAGGAGGCGAGTTGAGACTGGAAGGATGAGTGGGCGATTGCCAGGTGGGTAACTAGGAAGAAGATGTTTGGCAATGAGAACAGACAAGGAACTCATGGAGGCATGAGTGAGCCTGGAGTGGTCAGGGCACAGGGAATGAGTATGTTAGCATGGTTAAAGCATAAATTATTGTGAAGAGAGGACCAGGAATAGTAACAAAGACACCTAACAGAGAGTAAAAAACTAGATCACACGAGGCTTGTTACCCCAAGTAAAGGTACACCAATGTTTTCCTTTCTCTGTAGACTGTGACGTTATTGAACAATTTTGAGTAGAGGAGTTCCATGATCAAGCGCATATGTTCAGATTTCTAAAGAAAATCAATACTATTGTGATTCTTTCATTGTTTACAAATTCCAGAAATGGCACACACATAAAGTATAGACCTTTTGTCCCTAGGAGTTTCAACGATACTCTGTAATAGAGCTGAGGGATGCCAAAAGAAATATTTGAATTAAATGATATATCAGAATACAATAGAAGCCTGTGAGCAGATATTCAGTTAACAAGTTTTTAATAGGGTGTGATGCAATACTTAATGGAGAAGATTTAATTATAAAAGATAGCCCGCCTCTAATGGAAATTCAGCCAGTGAAGTAAAAGGATTACATTGTTGAGATTCTTGACGAAAAACACATAAACACCAATGAAAACTGTCCATTGTATTTCTTTAACTCTTGAAGCAAAACAGTGAATCTGCCAGGAATATATTTTACTTATGCTGACCATAATTTTTATAATTTCAGGGGTTAAGCATCTGAAAGGCCAGAATGAATCGGCATTCCCTGAAGAAGAAGAAGGTGTAAATGAAAGAGAGGAGCAGTGGGACCATTAATTATGGATCTGCAGCAAGAAGGCTTCTCGGAAATAACCAGTACTATTAACTTTTCTGAATAGCCCATGGAACTCCACTGCTTGACTTCCAGAAGCATTCTCCATCTTTGCACTCCACTAATACAATAATAACAAACCTTTTGGGATGTCCTTCTTGACTGAATTTTAGAACTAAGTACACATTGTTCCATATTACTTATAGTCACAGAACAAACCTTTATTTTATGGTCACTTTTGTTTTTTGTTTTTAATGACTTAGAAATTTGCAAACATGTGAGTGTTCTAACTTTAATACTGCCAAAGCTTAATCCTTGATAACCTACTGATATGGTTTCCTTCTAAGGTCAAAAGTAAATGTAAATAGCATTACTTTAAGAGTAAAACATAAATACTAAAAATATTTAGACATGTGTGTATCTGGGTTTAACTTAAAGAGAAATGTTTAATAAAAACTGGACATTAAACATAAAATCAGCATTTATCATGTTTCTGTTTACAAAGCAGTATGCAATAATGATTCCAAAATGAGAAAGAAATGCCAATTTGTTAATGCAAAGGTCACTTTATATTAGATTTTGAATATTAATCATCTCTTTTCAAAAAGACATTGTTGTTGTTAAGTGCTGTCGAGTTAGTTCTGACCCATAGCAACCCTGTATAGGATTTCTGAGGACATGCTGGTGATCTTGAACTGCCAACCTTGAAGTTCAAATCAACTTTGCAATCCAGTATATTACCCCACAGCACCACACCAGAACTCCAAAAAGACGTGAATGGTCACTTAAAGAACCATAGAATTCAGTTCATTTTCTACACTGTGAGAGAGATTTTATCCAGCATTTCTACTTTTTATTGAGAGAAAAAAATGCTAAATTTAAAATAGAATATATCAAATTCAAGGCTCCTTTTTTTGACTATTACTTGAAATATGGGCCATTTATTTCCAGTTACAATTTAATGAATCACTGCTGTTGTTAAGTTCCATTGAGTCAGTTCTGACTCATAGCAACCTTGATAGGCTTTCCAAGGCTGTAAATCTTTATGGGAGAAGAAGGCCTCATCTTTCTCCAGCAGAGCAGCAGGTAGGCTCAAACCTCTGACCTTGTGGTCAGCAGTCTAATGCTTATGGTTCAGAGCCACAGTGCAACTAATGTATCATTGTTGTTGTTATTAAGTGCCGTTCAGTTCGTTCCTACTCAGAGCAACCCTGAATAGGATTTCTGAGGAATTCTAGTGAGTTCGAACCACCGATCTTGTGGTTCAAAGCAACCTCGAGGTCTAGTGCTTATCCTACAGTGTCATAAAATAAAAAGTGTGTTATTTCGTGCATATATTCACTCATTCATTAATTCAACAACTTTTTTTATGGAAAAGACACTCTATTGGAGGTTATGAAATTGAAAGGAAGATTATCTCTTCTCTATGGAATGACAGAGAAGATAAAGTGCAAGCAAAAGGCATAGTTTTCCAAGACAGCATGTATTTATCAAGAATTTGTTGTTGTTCTTATGTGCTGTTGTGTCGGTTCCAAATCATAGCAACCCTGTATAGGGTTTCCAAGGACCAACTGGTGAGCTTAAACTGTCAACTTTGCATTTCAAACCAATCTTGCAATGGCGTTTGTAAATTCTAACTTCTGGCTTTCTGAACAATATCAATAATTTATTCACTAATTTCGAAGCATTCACACCACAAAATTTAGTTGGGATGAAGGCAAACCCAATTTGTTTCCCACATTAATGATATTACTGAGGTTTTTTTCATGGATGAAAAAAATATATTTTTTTCAAAATCCAGAAAAGAGGGAAATTAAAATAGGAAGGAAAATCAAACCAAAAATCAAAAGTGAACTCCATTGTCGGAACTTTTTATCAGGATTCAAAGAAGAAAATTATTTTTAAAATTGTTTAATGTAAGCTTTATGCCATAGAGATACCTCTGGTGCCTATGGTTAAGTACTTGTTGCTAAATGGAAGGTTGGCAGTTTGGACCCAGCCAGAGGTTCTGTGAGAGAAAGACCTGTTTAGTCTGTTTCTGTAAAGATTGTAGTCAAGCAAACTCTATGGGGGTCCTTCTACCCTGTCACATGGGACTCACTATGAGTTGAAATTGATTTGATAGCAGCTGGTATGGCACTGTAGGATAATGCACTGGACCACACAGTTGGTGTGAACTGCAAGGTTGACAATTCAAACCCACCAGCCACTCCTTGGAAATCCAATACAGGGTTGACATGCGTCAGAACAAACTCAATTACACTTAACAACAACAGCATAAACTAACATAAGAAAATACAGTAGAAATGAAATCATTTTTCTTAGTACATTTTTCTGGAGAAAATATATGCAGTACCATGAGGATAATATGTTAGACTGCAATGTCGGTTTAAACTGCAAGGTTGGCAGTTCAAACTCACCAACCGTTCCTGGGATAACCTAAACAGGGTTGCTATGAGTCAGAACCTTCTTAATGGCACTTTACAGCAAGAACAGGCATGAGGATGAGTGAGTTACTCTATTTTCACACTTCTTTTCCCCTCCATTCCTTCTGTCCTGTCCTCCTCTTCCTTCCCTCTCTCTCTCTCCTTTCTTCTGACCCTCTTTGTCTGTCCTTCTCTTTTTCTGAAGTTTCTAGACCACCTGCTATGGCAGTTTATTTGATTTGCAAAATTTCTTTCTACTTAAAATCTGAATGAGACACAGGTTCATTTAAAGTGATTTTGAGTTATTTCTGTTTGGAAAACATCTAAACACCCCTGCGATTGATTATTTAAGACACCCTGAGGAGCTAACAAATAAAATTGCCCTTCCCTTTCCCTGAATAGACACTTTATAAATGGTTTTTGTTTTTTTAGAGAATTAAGAGAAACAGAAAGAAACTTTTGCTGATTTTATAACAGCATTTGGGGAAATAAATGTTATGGTTTCTGTCCTCAAAAAGCAGAAAGAAAACAATGAAAAGCATAACTTTTTCTTAGGTAATGTTGGTTTCTTTTATTCTATTATCTACTCTCAAGATACAATGAGATAATAATTAAAAGCTTCGGTTTTCCTTGGGAAATATGTTGGTTTTCTCAGAAAGTTGAAGGAAACCTGCTAAGATAATGGTATTTCAGTTTCCTTTTTTCACACGAGTATAGTTTGCAACAAGTTTTTGTTTCACATTCCTCAAGAAGACAGTTTGATTTCAGTTTGACTGAATGAGAAAATAAACTTTCTGAATAGAACAGAACAAAAACTTCACACTTCACTGACCACATTTGTTGTATAATATAATGGTCAGTAGATGCGCTTCAGGTCATCTTGACTTGGGTTCAAATTAACCTCCATCAGCATTTTGACTCAGTTCCTCTATACCTAAAATGGGGACAACCAAGCCCACCACCCTGGGCTGTTATGAGATTAAGATGAGGTAAGGTCTCACTCAAATCCACCGAGAAAGACGAGGCTTTCTAATTCCTCAAAGATTGAAAAAGCCTTGGAAACTCTATACACGGTGCTAAGAGTCGGAATTGATTCAAAGGCACACACCACCAACCACTACCATTACTGTCTTTAGGGGGTAGTATTGGTTCAGTGGTAGAATTCCCAACTTCCATGTGGAAGGTCAAGGAGCTCTGGTAGCGTAGTGGTTACAAATTGGGCTGCAAACCTTAAGGTCAGCAGTTTGAAACTACCAGCTGTTCCTCAGGGAGAAAGATGACGCTTTCTGCTCCCGTAAAGATTTACAGCCTTAGAAATCCTGTATAGGGTCAATATGAGTCGGTTTCAACTCCACGGCACATAACCACCACCATGTGGAAGGTCAAGGTTTCATTCTGGCTAAATCGCCTAAATCACAGCTATACCCATCTGTCAGTGAAGGCTTGTATGTTGCTATGGTGCAGAACAAGTTTCAGCCTCAGAAGAAAAGCCTGGCAATCTATTGCCAAAAAAATTATCTGATGAAAATCCTGTAGCTCACAACAGTCTAATTCTGCTGTGCATGGGGTATCCATGTGTCAGAGGCCAACTCCATAGCAGCTAACAGCAACACATTATTACTATTAGACTTACAAAGGACCTCAGAGACTTCCTATCCAAACACTTAGAAGTGCATGATGCTCTTTAATATCATAGCAAACTATTATTGCTAACTCCAGCTTCACCCCAAACCAGCCAAAATGCTCTGGTAACAAAGCGGGTTACCCATTTGGCTGCTAACTGCAAAGTTAGCGCTTAACGTCCACCAGTCACTCCTTGGATGAAAGAAAAGGTTTTCTGCTCCCATTGGATTCAACTTGATGGTACACAGTAGCAATATGGTAAATGTTTTCTATCTTTATGTCTACACCTTTACCTCCCACTTTTGAAGCCTCTACAATAAATGGAGTCCAGGTGTGGCGCTGTGGGTTAATGCACCAGACTACAAACTCAGTTTGAACTGCAAGGTCGGCGGTTCAAGCTCACCAGCTGCTCCTTGAAAACCCTACACAGGGTCGCTATGGGTCGGAAACCACTCAACAACACTTAACAACAACACATTTAACTCCTTTCCCATAATATTGTTGTTAAGTGCCATCGAGTCTGTTTTGACTCTTAGCGAAACTTATAGGGTTTCTGAGGAGTGGCTATTGGGTTTGAGTCGCCGACTTTGAGGTTCAAACCAAACTTGTGGAACAGTGCTTATCCTAGAGCGTCACACCAGGACTCCATATTATAGCCACTCAGATATTGACAAATGCTCTGATGTCATCTCCTAAGTGGTGTCAACTCAGTGTTAAAACATCACCAGTTCCCCCAGACATATGCTCATTATTGTGCACACTCCTGCATCCTCTTCAATTATTCATTGCTGAATGTAAGAGTGTTATGTCAGGTGGATAAACTAGAGATTATTTTCTTTGCCCTCAATACATGAGGAAACTGAAGCATTGACAGAACCTGGGCAAATTAGGATTCTAGGCCAATACTCTTCCTATTGTGAAATAATTTTATGATATTCTTTTCTTTCATCCCAGAGATA